TTTATAATCTTGGTTAATCTCTCAACAAACGTGACGCTTTCTACATTGTTGAACCGAACAGTATGAAAGATGCCTTGTCACAGATGAACCTATGACTTGGCCTTGCTCACCAACAAATTGTTGGACCTTAGCGATAATATCGGACCACGAAATTCCAAGGTCCAAACGTCCATCCTCGTGAGATTGATGAATGAAAAGCATTTTTCTTCAATGTCCATCGTTTTTCCCTTCATTGAAACGCTGCCGAGTGGAATACCGTTGCTCTTTAGAAAGGCGCACTATTGCTGACCCTTAAGGAAAAAATGTAAATTGACTCGCTTGCTTCAATACCTGTAAAACATTTCTTGTTTCATACGCTCTTTTCATCATCTTCATGTAGCTCTTGTCTACTCTTGCAAACCGATTATACTCTTGTGGAAGGTCCTGCATGAAAAGTGGAAAGGTATGTTACACGTGATAAACTCGTGCTTAACGAGCACTGACGTCAACTGGCACTTACCTTAGCTGTTCCGCCATGACTGAAGACCTCCTCGAGATGTTGCCACAAATCTTGTACAGTCAACCACTACAAAAAAAAATTATGTAAGCAATTTCACGTTGGGAGTGCAAAAGCCATTTATTCACAAAGTCACGGACAAGTAACAGCAAGTTTCTTCGGATATGGTCCACTCTAATTTTTTTCCAATTTCACCCATCGTACATCTCCTCTTTGGTCCTATTATTTTTGGATGTACAGGGGCTTTGATACAATTTGCATATCAAGTCCGTACTTTGAAAACTGTGTCACTGTTCCCTATCGTTAACTATTCTCAAACATATATAATTATAATTTGCCGTTTCCTTAATCTGACGAGAGACTGCAGCGCAGAAAAAAAAGCAATAGATCACCACTAACTGCTGCGTCCTATTTATAGTTCCAATAAAAAGCGCAGAAAGTTACGTTCACGTACCTGCTCTAGGACCTCACTGATTTCTTTTAACTTGATGGCCCATGCTGCAGCCTCGTCACGAAGTGGTCCGATGTGACGTGATGTCAGCATTAGAGCAAGAGTGGCTTGCGCATCTTCCAACAGGTCTAACAGATGTTCAGTGTTACTATGGCTCAGACACACCAAGCCTCTGTTCTTGAAATTTTCGAAGGTAAGGACCTGCAAATAGTGAGTCCGTTAGTAACAATGCCATATCACTTAAAGAGCTGTGTTACCACATTTTATTTAAGGTATTTCAAATTACAAACTTAAGGAATAAAGGCCACCGTTTTCGAGAAGATGAAGCTCTTTAAACATTTACCTGTTCCGTCCACTCCTCCTCAGTACTTCTCATTTTGGCTTCCAACTCCAGCTCTCTACTAGCACATCGGCATATTTCCTCTATTGCCGCCTGGTGTCTAAAAAAATATAAGTGGACACTTGGATTACGCCGAGACACACTTGGCCACAAATTGCTGCAACACGACGGGGGAACCATTCGCAACGTTGATTAGTCACATGTGACATGAAAAATATTTGAGAAAAATTTTGTCGCTGCGACTTAATTTTGTCAATGCTGTTGGTCGCACAAATTCAAACTAGCTTGAACATTCGACTCGTGACTAAAATTAACCGTCTAACTGTAATGGACGACCGATCTCGCGATTTACTATTTAATTTTCTCTTTTATTGCCTGAAACCTATATGGAGAGGCACCATTCGCAACCCAAACAACTTGCACTTACTGAAGTAATCCAATATCCAACAAGTGAACAAGTTTGAAGATGTGCGCTTCGAGCTGGAAAGACGAACCTGTAACACTCATCACCTGTAGCCAATGGCGATTACGAATCTCCTAAAAAAGAGTAAAAGGAGAGTTCGCATGAGAACTATAGGAAGACACTCTAATAATAAAATTATTCTGCGGCGATCACCATCGCCATAACGTTGAAGGAAACAACGAAAAAAAGATTTCTCAGGATAGCCAATTTATGTAACAAAGAGGCTGGAATGTACCTAGCAGAAGTAAAGACGTTAATTGTACCAACCGAGAATAAAAAGAACTGTACCGCAAAAAAAACAAATTTAACACTTCGACTTTTAATTCATCACTACTATTAATAAGGACATACTCAGACTTTCTTTCTTTCAAGCAGAGGACCGAGTCTTAATTGAAACTTAAGAAAGGAGGTACTTGTTTCTAAAAAAACACTTCCTTCTGATCCGAATACAGAAGAACAAGAATGAATACTTTCAATTCTCTAAAACACCAGGAGGCAAAAACCGTAGGAAAAAACGCTTCCAGTACATACTTTTGAATTAAGTTTGTGCAACGTAGGGAAGACATCCAGGTAATGTTTTATGGCATCTCTCATTTCTTTGTAGGCATCCCACTCTTGTATTCTCTGAGGCAAACGAAGGCACTCTTGCCAATAATGCTCCATCTGCAACCAAACAAAACAAAAAAGGAAACATTCTCAGTATATGTGAGAGATGCGATCGCTTAATACTAGCGCTGGGCTCAGAATCTTGAATTGAAAGGACTAGATACCAGCTCCGGCCAGGGTCATTTTCTTGGTCAAGACACTTTATTTTAAGAGTTCTCTCTCCACCCAACCAAGAGTAAAAATTGCTCCCGGCGGAATGTCACGGAAACTGGGTAAACTGCTGGGGATGGACTTTCATTCCATCCAGGCGGAAAAGTAATACTCCTGGTCGCTACATGCCATGGAAACCGGGATAAGGTATGACATTAGTAGGCCAATGGTTTTGTAAGACTTAGCTTAACCTGATATCTAAAATAAAATTTGTGCTTGGAATTCTGTTCCTTCGAACAAAAGTCTCTTGTTTAACATGGATCAATAGGCGTAGACTTGAACTGACAGTGATCTTTAGATTCTGGGTCGAACAGAGGGAATATGTGTTCAGAATATTCCCTTAAAAGCGCAAGTGTAACACTGCCCAGGCCAGCTCCGTTTTTGAAAGAAAACGCAATGATTGTGGCCAGTCTTTTATGGACTTAGCTGAGAAGGAACGATGACAAACCAAGTCAACCACAAGTTTGTAGTTTTCTGAAGTTGCTATCAGAAATGGTAAAAAGTAAAACGAAGCTTGTCAGAAGAAAATAAGATCTAAAAACCTAGTAGCATTTGTCCTTTGATTTTAACTGTAACAGCTTTACCTCGGATATTTTAAATTCCTAAATCTTAAATTCTCCAGCTGGGTTATGTGGGAAGTGATTTGAGAAAACGAGACTATCGTAATGTAGTTTTAAACATTACTGTACCTCCTGATTTGCGACAACCAGATCCACCTCTGACCACAGGGTATCCCTAAACCTGAAGAAGACACAGTTTGTTGGAACCTTAAACTTCACGTAAAGTTTGAAAATAAAATTCTAAACAGTACCAGCTTGCTTTACTGGTAGTTTATTTCTTTTCTTTACTTTTCCTATGTGAGACATAGACCAGTGCAGTTTTACACACTGCCGGAAAATTCGTGTTACCAAGCTGATCGTGACATGGCTACTAACCTTTGATCAAACGAGATGAACTGTTGAAACAGACCGTACAGCAAACCAAGAAGTTCGAGTTCCTATAGAAAAGAAAAGGTGAAATAACACTTTATATGTGAAGCTGTGTACACCATAGAGAACTGCCGAAAGCTGTTTAACTTGTTCATGTACTGCGCTATCAAAATTAATGAATAACTTGTTTCGTTCGGGGCCATCATCAAAGAGGTGTATTACTAGAGTGAAGAGAAACAACCGTCCGTTTACAACAAATTAATTATATTTGAAAATGCGCGTCAGAAATTATCTCACATCTATCGGCCAACATATCTTAGCGTGTCACCAACATAACCAACCTCTCCGGTTTTGTCCAGTTCTGCAAAAGGTGTAGGAACAATTCCGAACAGCATTTGAACAGAATCTAGTGTCTTTCGCTTGGCTTCAAACTGAGTATAGTGTTGTTGAAAGTCTTGTAATCTCATCACAGCTTCAGCTGGTCTCACACCCGGTACTCCTGGACCTTGAGAGTCAAAGCTGTTCCGGAACTGAATCACATTCACAACAAACGCCTAGAAGAAAGAATGTCATACGAAATTCATTTATATTTCAAGTATGCCATATCCTACCGGAATGCAAGACGCTTGTCGCTTATGGGCCTGGTAGGTGGCCTAACTTATCAACAAGTTCTGTTATCGAAGATTATCAGGTCGCAAAATTGAACGAAATCATCGTAGGAGAATCAGATCCTCCCGAGTCGAATAACAAGTTTTTTTGGTTTTTTGTTTGTTTGCTAACATTTCCTTAAATTTCATCTTAAGTGACTCATCATCAAAGAAATTTAAATATTTTTATTTTTGCACTGGAGAGATTACTTCAGCCCTTACCTTGACTTCTTTGTCTAGTTCCTGTTCAAACATCCCACGCTTTTGAACTAATAACTCGTCTCTGACCTATATATATTTCATAAAACAAAACGAAAAGAAGACATGACAGACATCTTAAATAGATGTTTAGATAGTGTCTAAGATAAAAGAAAGTTATACATAAGGCTCAAGATTCTTTGGTGTGCAAAGAATTTTTTTTAAGACTTATCTAATAGTTCCTTGCCAAGAATGAAGTAAAAATTTTCGAGCATACTTCGAAACATTAGACGACAGACTTAATTCAGTTATGTGCACAAGAAAAAGTTCGTAACACTTTGAAATCTGTTTTAAACTCAACAACATGTTGTGGCCGCAGGCTGCGTTACATAATGAAGATTGTAAATCAAATGAACTAGTCGCATGAGACAAAGTTGCACCGTGTTCATCAACCTTTACGTAATTTCTGGGCGGTGTCGGCGATGGAGTCGCAAAAAGCGGTAGAAGAAAGTCAAAATAAAGAAAACATAAACGACTCTCGTGGGTTTGTTGTACTTCAAAAACAGTTGGCTTTCTTTTCCATCTCTCGAAATAAGCAAGTTATTCTTGATTCTTGATAAAGCGAAATTTTTTTGTTATTAAATAAATCCTTTACTGAGTAAGCTTGTTCGGTCAATATAACTGGATATTAACCTCGTTGTTGTTGTTGTTGTTGTTGTTGTTTATTCGCGAAAAGGAAAAGAATTTGGCCGATACCCAGCCATATTGACCTGATGCTTGGTCAATAACGCATATATATCGCCCTACCTTTTCGGCAAGCTCTATCAGTTTGACCCATTCATCCCGTAGATTGTCCACTTCTTGTACTTCTATTCGTGGAAGACACAGGTTGTACTCTCTGATGAAGTGACAGGAAGAGTTTGAAGAAACGTACAGTTCACTTTGTCACGCAAAATATACGCACAAACAAAAATGCATCGCTTAAACATGTGAACTACTCTTACGGGGATCTTAAGCTGAGGTTAAATTAACTGATTATGACTTTGTTCACAACTTTACCAACGAGGTAATGTTCACAGATCCACAAAAGATTCCAAGGGCTATCAACCTTGAAGGCCTGTCAAGTTTTTAGGTTGACAGAGGTTTGAAAAGTCGATGGATAGCTTCAGGTTTAAGACCATTTTGGATAAAATCTTATTAATGTAAACACCAAAGCTTTGCTCCTATTTCAAGTACCTCAGCTTTCCATACATGTTCTCCACAGGTAGGTAAATGTCATCAATAGTGTTCTCCATGTCTCCCAGTTCTTGGAGAAGTTGAAAGGCACTGTTGAGTTCATCTAAAGTGACAACAGGCTGTGAAAGTCGCTCATAGATGCTGTTACGGTGCGTAACTATCTTGTCCAATTCAATCTGAAAGCAAAATGACAGTAAGCAAAATGCACACGATCCAAAGTTTATAGGTGACAGGAGTTCTTCGTGCGTTCTTCATGCGCTAGGATCGTGAAAGTAGAAAGCGTCGAGAGTGAACACAAATTTGAATCTAGCCCACCTTAGCTTCTTCGTGCAGCTGAGTAGAATATCTCATTTTCCACGCCACTGCAAATCCATGTAAGGAGTCCTTGATAGGCGAGGTGTTCAAACATACTGAGCCCACCATAAGTCTGTCAGGAATCTCCACCACATCATGCTCTATCGCCTGAAGTCTCTCTACCTCCAGCTTAAACATGGTAGTTCCGGGATCATTGTCGACAAACACCTGGTACAGTGCATGCATGTCATCCTTCCATAGGAAGTCGTAACGACGGAAATTAAACAGCTGCCTTTCCACTGTTTGTTGGAGGCCTGGTTATAATGCAATAAGAGTGTAACGATTTTTAAATTTGTTTACGACGTTATAGGGAAGAGAAGGGTCTTAATAGCGATCTTGAGAGAGCAAGGGCGTACAAAGGGGGTTTCATAGTACAGGGGCGTCTAAGGCAAGGGAGCTTAATGGCGAAATGGGCTTATAAGATAGGGGCATAAGAAGACAAGGGCGTATAAGGCAGGGGGGCTTAATGGCAAAATGGGCTTATAAGATAGGGGCATAAGAGGACAAGGGCGTATAAGGCAAGGGGGCTTAATGGAGGGAGAGGCTTATCAGATTGGGGAATAATAGGGCGGGGGCGTTTAAGGCCAGAGGTCGTAATGGAGGGAGCGGCTTATTAGATAAAGCTTAATAGAGCACAAGCGACTAAGGCAAGGGGGGCTTAAAAGAGCTGTGGCGTATTGGGCAAGGGTGCTTAATACAGTATACATGTATAATGAAAGAGAGATGAATTACTTGTGACTGAAGTAGAGAGCTCTTCTAATGTTTTATTCACTTGATGATCTTGTGCAACTGATCGATGAAAAGACTCATTGACATCTGCTGCCCACCACATGATCGTCCTAGAGACATCAACCAAATGTACGGCAACACGTTGAACGCCATCTTGGATCGTCTGAAGAGACGGCTTTATGACGATGTCTGGAATGTTGAATTGCACATTGACCTCAAACTGAAGCAGCTCTTCTTGGTTAGTCGTGCTCCACTCAGAATACTGAGAACTCACAGACTCAGCATAATCACTGTTTTCAGACCCGTTGTCTGATGAGTCATCCCAAGAAGATCTGCTCAAATAATACATAAAAACATGATATTAGGGTGACACTATTATTTGAGGTCAGTTTCCTGACGTACAAGTACATTACACTTTCTTTTCCTTTATTTACCGTTAGAAACTAATTTTACAATTCGTTAGCAAAGCATTACAAACCCTGATATTTTTCTGCTCTCCACTTCAATTCCACTCTTTTTGCGCCCAGGAGGTTTTACACAATCACCAATGATCAGCAAGGAAGAGACTATACTCTCCAGTACGGCTTGATAAACCAAACTGCAATAATGACCAAAGATATCACCGATGACTGACTCGTCAGTTAAGCCACTGACAGCAGTTGCAGCTCGCGTTCCTGGCGCTGAAGACATGATGGTGCCAATCCTGGTAAATCGAGGTGTCATTGCACCAGTTCTGTCCAAACCAAGACTCATGCTTGGGCTAGGACTGATTTGAGGACTGGCAGGAGAAGAGATTCGCCTTTGATTTGCAGTGGCAACGACTTCCTGTAAAGCGAAAAGTGGAAGTTGAAGAAAACCTGGTCTTTAAAAAACGATTACGCGAGAAATTGTAAAATATCCTATAAAAAATCTTAGCAAGCTATACCCCTCGCTCATTGAATAGTACAGCATTACAATTATATTTAGGTTGTAGCAGTATGAGCTAGGATTTCTATAGTAGTCAATGAATGGACACTACAACTGACAAACTTTAAAGAAATGCTCAAAGGGATGCCAAAAGATGCTAAAGAGACCAGTAATCAGAGAAATATTACAAACAGTAGGCTTTTCCCTTTACCTGCAGCGCATTCTCTACTTCCTTAACCATTTCATGTAATCTCTTCCCCTGCTGAGTCACTGCTTTGTTTTCTTCTTCCACAAACTTTTCCACATTCCAAACATGAGCAGTAGCCAACTTTTTATCAAAGAGAATCACCCTTCGGATTTCCTCAATCTTTCTCTCTATGCCTTCAGACACTACTTCTTTAACACTGTCCACAACTTCTTTGAGCCTAGAATTGGCAGAATGCACCTGATGTAGGTAAGCATCGATATTCATGCTGCTCCAGTTAAGGGTGGACACACCCGGCTGTAGGTAGTGCAAGACAGATTCCATGTGTGGTGTAAGCAACTTGTACAGGGCCGAGGGTACATTCTGACAAACCTTGTAGTAATCCTGTAGAACTAGCTCTAGTGATTGCTTGTATGACTTGAGTCGATGCTCCTATATGAAGAAATAAGTCTAAATGTGTTACTTCAGATGATATACACCTTTTTTTTATTTTGAGTATGACAAAAATAAATTAATCTAACGCATTTCAATCACGTGACGAAAGTGATTTTCGGAGTGTTGACTGTTCAAGGGAGATCATCTGACCAGAAAATCATCACTTTGTTAGGTAAGAGTGGCGCTAATTTGGTGACGTTACGCATTTGAGAGTAAGTTCTAATTCGAGGATTTACGGTACAGCAGAACAAAACTGAAGACGCCTTTAGAGCTGGACTGATATCATAGGACCAAATCAAGGACGATACATACATCTCTGTAAGACAGCCTGCACCTACCTGTTTAAGGACGTCTAGGGCACTTTCAGGAAGTTGAATCCCCATCCTCATCAATGATTTGCTCTCCTGAATTAGTTCAAGAAGCCTACATGTAGGGTAATTGTAGAGAATAGAAACAAAGAGAATATAGATAACGTTAATTAAGCGGTTCAAAATCCACAGTATAAATTCCTACTCTGCTAATATTTTTTATCCATTCTTAGACTCTAACAGTACTCTCTCGGTTCATTTTTTTTGTGTTTTTCAGACAAGTTAAGGAAAGTGCGAGGCAACTGTAAAGGTCGACTTCCATGTAAGAGGAGAAATTCCTTTCATCATGCTACAAAGGCACTTGCCTCTGCTTGCTTACAAACAATAATAATAATAATAATAATAATAATAAATGCACCTATTCTGCAGGATAGTACATCAAAACGAGTTGTTTTGCACGAACACAGTACCACTGACAAGCTCCAGAAACCTGTATATTCTTTCATGAACCATTTCTCCTGTTAGCCATGTCCTACCTTCCGTCAGCATTCACCACTAGCTGTTTTGTTTCAGGGTGAAATGCAAGAAGGGAAATTTTTAGTCCACTGCACGCGCTGTCAATACGGGACTTCCACAGGCTCAGCCATAAGTTCTCAAACTTTACTAAAGCTGTAGCAATGCGATTGTAAAACTTGACGATACGACCAAAGTCCTGTTAACATGAGCGAGAACTTCCTTCAATTTTTTAACTTGTCTACCCACAATGAGAGTAAAGTAACATTCATAAAATCTCTTTTTTTTTAACTTTTCCATATTATTGAATTATTGGATTAATAATTATTGACAGAAATGCATAACAATAACAAATTAAAAATAGTGACCCAGGTTTTTGCAAGTTTCTCTGTGCAAGTTTTACAGAACCTGTTCGTAGCCCTGTGCGCTTGCTGGTGCTATTATCAAAGACGACAATCAATACCGAGGGTGGAAAGAGGCTCTCTGAAAGTTAATTACTACACTGTACAGTACATGTTGCCAAGCACCCCAACACAAATAAGCCAGGTCGCAAAGCTTACCATTACAGCAGCTCATCAAGTATTTAAGTTTTCAGCTTTACTTAATTGCTCATCATTTTCAATTTAGTATCTCACCCTATAAGATGTCACAAATTTGTTTTCTTTAAAGATCTTCATAGGATCTTCAATCTTCTTTAGCAAGCCTCTTGACCAGGTTATTGCTCCAGCAACAAGTGGAGAGTTGCGAACAAGAGGAGGGCTCTCCTGTTTTCAGTATATAAATGCACATTATAAATAAATGTTGTGGTTCATTTTTTGTCTTAGTTTACAATTTTTCAAATCAGTTTGATTTTTACTTTTGTTTGTTATGTATCCATTAGCACAATATGAAACAAAGAAAAATAATAATCAAACAGGTTTGAATTACTGAAAAAAAAAAAGACAATTGAGTCAAAACAAATAAAATTAAATTTACATTTTCATGTCTGAAAATTACACAGAATGAAACACATACTCATTTTATTGAAAAAACACATCTTCACCAAAAGCTAACATGAACAATTCTAGCAATGAATGACACAAACCAAGAAAAAAAATCCATTTCATTAAGTCCAGGGATCTACATGTATATTGTAAATCTCTATTGTCAGTATAAAATCAAAACAAAATTAGATTGGAGCTGGAACTACATAAATTTTACGTAAACATATGATTTTGCCTCTTTCTCAAAAATGGTGATCTTGTGGGTATTTTCCATCTAAGTGTTCCAAATCATGACATGCAAAATAGGTTAAATGTTTAAAACTTTAACTAAATGGATGACTTCACCCAACTACAATATTCATGGACATTCATTATAAAATTAATACTGTAAAGGTAAGTAATCATACAGCACACATGTCTGACATCTACTGAATTAACAGAAAATTATTCCTTTCAACTGAAATTCCAATCAAACACGTGTGTTACTTCACCTTTTGGCTCTCATAGATTTTCTGTACATTTTCCAATTCTGTTTCAAACCAGCCAAACACTTCAAGGAATTTTTCTGACAACACAGCTCTGAGACCAGGTCTGTTCATCACACAGTTAAAACTATAAACACAGAGAACAAACAGACAGTTAGGGCCTATTGTGAAGGCAACTTTTTTCCAACTTGGATTAAAATGCTTTGAGTTTGAAGGTAACAAGTGCTTCATTACATGTATTAGGTTTAAACTTGTTGTAACATTTTCCATTTCAAGCCACTATTACAAAGTATTCTTTTTGGAAATAACTGTTCACTGATTTTAAATCCATATTAATAAAAAGAAAACACCACAGACACCCACAGAAAAATTGCATAAAAATTGTACCTTGTCAGAATTTCAAGAGCCCTCTTGATGTTCAACTTCAATTCAAAGACACCCTGAAACATAGACACAATCAAATGCCATCATCTGATCAATGCTTCTGTGATATAAAAATGTAAATGTAGATTATTGCAGTAAATTAAGGTAAGTTACTGCACAAGTACCATTAGGTATGTGATGCAAACACAAAACTATTAACTTGTGTTGTTTTCTGATTGCTTGATACCCTGTTAAAATAGTCCAATGAATCTAAACCAGCCCTGCCCTACAACTTACATGTACAATTCAGTAAGTTTACAACCAAATACACAAATAATACAGGTAGAAGTCTATGCGTGTTTCAAAGACCTTGTGTTTAACTTCTTGCCAATGAAATAGAAACAGTTCTGCTCTCTCCTAGTTAGGTTGTCAAACTCTTCTTTTCATTAAATTTGTTTTATCTTTTAATTGATATTGCATCAAATCAAGTTTCTTTAATTTTGATATTAATAAAAAGGTACATGCTTTTAACATACAAAGTACCTTGAGATAATTACAAATGTAGCTCTCCATTTGTTGTACACCAGCAACAAAAGATGTATACTGTTCTTCAAATCTTTCTTTGCCTTTGCCTTCCACATCAAGGAAGGTCTCTGTTGTAACAACACCCTCCATTGGAGATCTTATAGAATGGATCGTATCCAGCAGAATTTGGGAAATGCTCTGAAACTCAGTGCCTGAATTATATACTTCTTTCACTTCCTCTTCCTCTTCATCTAAGCTCTCTAGCATGCTCTTTAGCACATCTGGTTTGTTGCTACCATGGGAACCTTAAATAAAAACATCAAGGCCATACGATAGCTTTGTGTAAAGCTCATACATGTTGCTACTACAAGGTAGTTCAGCAATAGGCAAACTAACACTAGAAAATTTAGATAATCTGATTTTATCAATTGACTTGACAATGTTAATTGGCCACTGTAAAGAGTTTCTAAAGATGACTTTTCAAGTATTAGCCCTTCATCAGAGTGAATGACAAAGGGCTTACACTGGAAATGTCAGCGCTAGAAACTCTTCCTGGTGGCCAATGCACATTATCAACTAAGGTGATAGAATCAAATTATCTTCAAATTGTAATCCCCCCAACAATGGTGCACCGCAGTTTGTTTGGAATCTAACCCATTTATTTAACACGATAAATTATTGTACATTTTTAGCTACCTTGAAACCTCAAATAATAAATGTACAGGCTGCACAGTAATTCTGAGTGATGCCTTTAGATACAACTATAACTATATTGTAGTTCAATTTCCTCCTTCGATTAAAAATCTATTTCCTTTGTTTTAGGGTGTAATAATGTTTAAACATAAAGTTAAAATGGCTCTATTTAAGCATGGTACACACACATGTACCTTTTTTAGGGGTGTTGGTTCTAGTAACTCTAGTAACTAGTAACTGTCACAGTTCAAATAAATGTAAAAATACAGAACATAATTGAAATTTATCCATTTTGACTAGACAAGCTTGATCAGTGGGGGAAATAAATTCATCTTGTCCCCTAGAGTAGCCATACCTGAATCCAATCACCTTTTGATCTTGAATGTACACTTTTGAGACCAGTCTTAGCTCGTGGGAAATGTACAAAAATGGTATCAATTTTACTTTTCATAGATATTATACCTGGATAGCTGTGGTCAGAGCCACTTCCTATGGAAGCGGCTGCTCCAGCAGGCCTGAGTCCACCAGCATCTGTCTTGAAGTACATCTCACTAGTGACCTGATCATCTTCCACATCATGACTGTTTGTTATAACATCCCCGGTGACACGAGGCAAGTTCTGCACTTCATTGGCAAGTTTAGAGAACTGCGACAAAGTGTGAATGACATCAATCATACTGCGGATGTGGTTACAAAAATTATCCAAGTGTGCTATGATTGATTCTTCATCAGTAAAGGCAATGCCACTGCTTCCATGACTGGTTATGCTCTCATGGTCTCCCTTCATTTTTGTGCCTGGAACATAAACACAAACAGGGTTATTACATTCATAACAAGTACAGTATTATATTCAAAACAAGTATTAACCTTTAACTCCCAGATCAAATTTGTAATTCTCCTTACTGTCAACCAGACAATTCTTATAAAGTTAGTTCAGAGAATTTAATATTAAATCAACTAATTATCCACAAATTGATATTTTTCTTCATTCTCATCACTTATCTGGTTGATATTGTTTTGATATTGTAAAGAGAAATTCTGTCTTGGTCATTCATGGGAGTTAAAGGGTTAAGGCCCATTCAATGGCACTACATATACTAAATTTTGAGTAAGTAAAGGCTCTTAGTTTTTTATCATGGTCAGCTGTATGTACCAGTACCAGTATATAAAAAAATTAAATTTTGGAGTTACAGTATGTTATAAATTAACAAACAATGCATGATTGTCCTAAAGATTGGTATTCCATTGACACATTTTGCAGGATACTTTGTCTAATTTATACTATAGTGCAATTTACATAATTCAGATGTACAGAATGTACCTTGCAAAGTATGTTTCAAGCTTGGTCCAAAAACAGATATCATATCCAAAATTTTAAGGGTTATAGAGACATACAAATGCTTTCTTGTACAAAAATAAATAAAAGTACATGGCAGAAAAATTAATGCAATTTGAAGAGGGAAAATAGTATTGCAACATGTGGTTCCTGATATTAAAGATTTATGGCTTGAACAAACAAAGACATTCTGTCTCAACCTACTTTGAGAAAATGAGAGCCTGATGGGGCTGCCAGCAGCAATTGGTGACATCAAGTTTGAATTACTGTTAGTGATCACAGACCGTTTTGCACCACCAGGCTGCAGGACACTGGGTGTCATAGAAAGAGAGTGAGACCCACCAAGGCCCTCCCTTAAACTCCTGATCATATCACGGTACTGTTTATGCATGGAGAGACAAACATTAAGCCGTGAAAGAAACCCATCATCACTGCCAAACAAGATCTCTTTGTTTGCCTTTCTTTTACCCTTCGATTTTGTTAGGTGAGCTGAATGGCTTGAGGAGGAGTCTATTTCTTCTTGAACCTTTGTCCAAAGTTTGTCTTCTTCCAAGATTGTAGTGCTGGATTCTATGTAATCTCTTGCAGCTAGCACAAGCTGATTGGTGATCTGACGATTCAACAATCCACAACAAACTTGTAGTCATACATGTACAATTATTAGCAGTTCATTGACATAATAGTCGCTGAAGATCATTTATTGCTCTGTAAAATGTTATTCTCAATAAAATCAATGATAACAATAGCAGTAACCACATATGCAAATCAAATTGTACGAGAAAACTTTGGACTATGCACAGTGCAGAAGTTACCTTAGAAAACAGCAGCCCAAGATATCCATTTCTGGCATAGTATCGTGAAATTGCATCCATTTGTCTCACACTTGCCATCAGTCCAGGAAGAGTATGGCCACAGATGTTGACCAGTGAGTTACCCACATTTAGTTGATCAAAGTACTTACGTAGTGACTCCAAGTACTTCACTTTATCTTTAGTCTCATTGAAGGCATCAGTAATGCTGAATGAACAAAATCAATTAATATGAGCCATTTAATACTCCTTGAAATTTCAAAGACATCCACACTAAAGAGAGGCCATTTTAATTGAAGGAGAACCTGATAAAATGTAAAAAAAAAAAAACTGAAACACATATTGTGAACAATTTGACAAGGTGATCTTGTGGGGTAGTCAAAGGACGTGGTTAGTCCTTAAACCCTTTAACTTCCAAGACCTGATTGTTAATTCTCTCCTTTAGCTGCTACACATCTCTTTGTGAATTAGTTCAGAGAATTTGGTGTTGGATCAAGACAACAATTTCAACCTAATAAGTTTGAGAATTCTCATTACCTTTTTCTTGTATGACTCATGGATATGATAAGGAGAAGTTACATGTTAATCACCTCTTGAAGTTAAAGGGTTAAGCGACTGTGACTGAGGTTTCAACAACCTGAGCAAAAGTCACCAAGACACTATGATAATGTCTTCTGCGTAAGTTATCAAAAAGTCAGTTGATGTCCAAGATAACAATCCTTTTCAGGACTTCCTTTGCCCTGACATCATATCACATGATCAACGGTCACACATGATTAGTAGAGACTTTTGTTCAAGCCCCAAAAGATTTATTGATGAGTTCATTTATCTGTTTCAAATTTTTCTTTATATTAGAGATACCATCAGTCATATACATTACCTGGCATCAATAGCCTTCCATCGTTTTAGTACTTTGGATTTAGCTGTAATTAGAATAGCAATCACTCCTTTGCATTCTTTGCTCTTTAGCTGGTCGGTGACGCTTGTGAGAACTTTCTGTCTGCGTTTCCACTTATCCATCTCACTGAGTGGGCCAGCAAAAGGATCAAATCTACAAATACAACTGAACAATTAAAAACAGCACATAACCTATTCCAGAGATTCAATGAGGGGTGCCCCCCACCTTAAATTTTTAATTGATTAGTCAAGACAGAAGAATAGTAGATAACCCATTAATTTCCAAGATCTGATACATAATTCTCCTTACTACCCACCACACAATTTTAGGCTATGACTCAGGGAATTTGGTATTGAATAGGCTAATAATCCCCTAATTGATATTCTCATTCTCATCACTTGTCTGCTTGAAATTGTATTGATATTGTAAGGAGAAATTCTGTATTGGTCACTCATGGGAGTTGAAGTATTAAAAAGCTGCTCTTTGTTCTTTCCTCCTTGGTCAGTTTTATAGCCTTAAAAACTACAGAAGTACATTCTAATGAGGAGGTTGATGCCAAAACAACAAAGGGGTATCAAAGTAATTTGTGAGGAGGGAGAGAAGTCCTTTCCATCCAATCTCTGATCAGATACTTTACCATTAAGTAGCACAGAGCTTGCACAGGGTAATGGAGTTCTCATATACAAACACAGTACATGAAAAAACTTATCAAGGTACTTGGACAGAGTTGAGTCTAATTTTGCGAATACAGACCCAACATGTTCCTTTTATCATCACTTCTACTTTGGAAAATTTCATGGCACAGCTTATATTTTCAGCTGGCAGAAGAATGCAAGAAAGCATATGCTGAACAAAGCATATTCATGATATTTTCAATTCAGTGAATTCTCTGTTATCTTAAATATTTACATGCATTGTCATCATCCCTATAGAAAGACCCAGTCTGCAGATCCTGGTGGGTGCACGCACAAGTTTTTAGTCAAATGATCATTCAGCATGCCAGAATGCATTGCACCCATAAGATCTCCTTGAGTTCAGCCATACTCTGCACACTGAACGAAGCCTGCATGTATAGCAGAGTTCTGACACCATCAATGGTCAATTTAGTGACCACTGAACTAAAGGCAACATAAACTGCTCAGAGTTACCTTGGTAACCAACTGCAGTTGGAGACTGACTAGACAGGCACCTCCCCCTACCCTCTGCCCCCTGAGCTCATTAATTCCAATTCAATCATGATCACCATTGCCCAAAATAACACTGAAAAATAAAAAATCAGTACACCCAAAAAAGTCATCAAATCCCAGCAATAGAAAATGATTGTATTTTGGTACCTTTCTTCCAGTCCATCAGTGAGTATATTTTCAATGGTCGCAATCCAATCCAAAACAAGATTCTCATACTCCAGCAAAATGGAAGGATTCACTGCAGCTGCTCTGTTCTGTTTAAAGTCAGACGTGACTTGCGACTCTGGTTTTTTTAAAATCTGCTGAGGTGCAATTGTAGCAGTAGCATACTCACTCAAAGTGTTTGTGTACTTGTCTAACTGGTTTAAAAAGTGCGAAACTTCTTCCTCAGAAGAATGACCCCAATCTTTCTGTGCGTGCAGAATCGGAGAAAATATCTCAGAGAGCAACGAACTAAAATGAACCAAAGGATTCTCTTTGATCTCGCCACAAAACACCTCCTTCTCCACGCACGTAGGGTCGATGACGCGCTCCAAATTAGAACGAATGAAATACAAACAGATCGCCTCTCCATCCATGACTTCCTTAAGCTTTGCACACGAGCTAGCTATATTCATCTTTCTAGGCAAAAGACTATTCGGATCTGCTTTAGGGCAGTAGAAAAACAGCTTCGTATGCCCTTCTGGAGCCAAAAAGTCATTAATGTAGTCAAGAGTGGTTTGCTCTGCCATAAAATCCTCGAGCATCGTAGGGCTGTCATAGGGCCCGACATGAAAAGTTTCTTGCAGCTTTGTAGCAAACCACCAGTGTCTTTCATCCATATTTAGTCCGTATACTGTGTAATTGTTGAGTTACATTTAGTTCTCGTTATTTTGGAAATGTTCAGACGAAATTCCCTCCATTTTGTTGTCATCTGGTAGCCAAGCACTGGGCATCGAGGTCCCGGATGTGAGAGAAACTTTCCCCCACCAGGGTGGCCGGAGGTATAGCTCTATTGCTCAACAAGGCATTTTGTGGATTTTGCTTACACCAAACAAGAGTAAAAACTAAATATCACGAAAAGGAGTTAACTTTGTTCAGAGGAATAACTTAAGTTGATGAAAGAGTAAAACTATATGTGTGATTCAAGTACAGCGGAAGACCTCGTCAACTCTTGCAGACCTAGGTTTTACTGATTGAGTCTATTTAGCTCCGAAATGAAGTGATTATCAATATCGGTATCCCAACAACTGCGCACCAGCCCCTCCCCTCCCCTCCCCTAACCCAACAACAGTCACCTCATAACAAGTTTGGGTTGACTAAGAAAACAAAAGAGCACTTTGTTAAGTTTATTAACTCGATATATTTAGCAAAGGCTGCAAATCAAATTTATAACAGACGAAAACAAATTTTGAAGGTGTCATCGCATTAACTCTTATGTCATTACTGCTGTTGTGATTTCTTTGGTTTGCGTTTTCGAAACCTGAGTGGAAACTGCTTTAACAATATTCAAAATCGCAAGGGGTCTTTCCCACCTAATCATGAGCTGATCACAGGAGAAAATTTATTGTTAACATTGATGTAGCTAAAGAAAGATGGCTTGCAGAAAGAGAACGGAATGTATTGAAAATTGCAAGAGAAGCAACTTTCAGACCGGTCCCGTTCCACGATTGAGTTTTAAAATGACTGTAAGAATGCTTATGTTTGAAACCCAGCATTTCCTAAGAGAGCTGAAAAAAGCGCCATCAGCAGTCTCCTTCCATGTAATTTAACAGCAAAGGTTTCTTTTATGCCCAAATCAGCAAACAGTTCTCCAGAAACAAACAAACAAATGAACATGATAGACAAATAAACAAAGTTTTTTTTTTCTGTTTTCATTCTTGAAAATTTATAGTTTTCAAAGGAGAGGGACGAACAATCTCGGCTCAGTTTTTCTGCAAAGAAGGCCGAATCAATACTTTGTGAAGCGAGGGACAGGTTGTTTAAAAACTTCAATTCTGCCTTCTTACTACATGTACACCCGTAAGTAGAATGCGACAAGTTCAAGTTCCTGAGATGTAGGTAAGAGTTTATTTGGACATGTGCTGGCTGATAATTTCATAACTTGATATGGTACACAGGAAGTTGTTCATTCGCTAGTTAATGGAGATCAGTAACTCTGATGCAGATCACTAACTCTGATGCAGATCATTCTTGGGGCACTTTCCGATTAAGTGTCGTAAAACAAAAACCACAGAAAGTCAACGGCCAATCAGAGGGCAGAAAATACCTTTAAGAACCAGTGAGAACGACATAAAACCAAACAAACTGCTAAAGCGCGAGAAAAATACGAGTCACCATGTCGTGATTGGTTTGTTTTGCATCAGATTGATTGAGAGAGTGGACCAATCACAGAGCGTAGCAAAACAAAAACCAAAGCAATCCCAGATTATTTGCTACACTCAACTGAAAACTACTCTGTAAAATGCTCTGAGAAATTGTTCAGTCACAGAGGAAATCACACACCCAAGAAAGCAAGTCTTGTTTTGTAAACTACCTCGCCTAAGTTGACACTGAAACGAGGCTACCAGCAAACAATGTCTATATACGTATGATTTCTTTTTTCTTATGTAACTGTTGTATAAAATGTCAGGTATACCATAAGGAAATCGCAACAGTTAAAACAACGAATTCAATATTGTACATCATTTTATTCCTTTAACCATGAGTGAGTTAATGAAATTAAACATATATTATTTTAACACGACATCTCATTCTTTCCATGTCTATATCCATACAATAAACTAAACTATTTGTCTTTCTTATAACCTATCGTTCGAGGATGATAAATTTTGGATACTAATACTGGGTTGAATGGAATTACGATTTTTGGCTCATAAATATCCATTCCGTAATTAACGCGATGTTATTTTTACTCTTCCCATCAACTTTCTTAGCGACATTTACATATTGACATTTCAACTCAGAGAGGATGTCAGTTTATAAGTTACCAAGTTTAGTATGAAATCAATAGACGGTTGAAACTGCCTTGACGACAATAATAAAAGAAAAAACGAAATTATTATTCTTAACATGTGGAAACAACTATTAAGACAAAGAAAGGTTCTTGTTATCAAAGTGCGTTGTTTTCTTTAACTCAAGTGCACAACGAAAAAAAAAGGGGTCACATTAGATTTCTCTTTCAAATTCACATTAAAACCCGGGAGTGAGAGCCAAAAATTTTGTATAATAAAAGTGAACATTCAATAATTTAAAGTTGTCTTTACAGTATACATACAGAAGATTTCGAGTCTGTTCCGGTTAAGACAAAGACTCAGGCGTGGGTGAAATGCGTCATAATAATTGGCAATGATTACAGGAATGCTTACAAAGCAAAACCCACTCTGATTTCAACACACGGGCGACTATCACCAAGTGAAGGGTCGTACGTGATGTTGGATATCCTACGCCTCGCCTGGAAACTTCCTTGAATTGTCGTAACAAAACCCTTGATTACATACCGCCACAAAATTTACAAGTTGGCCAAAAATATTGTAAATCCCTTAAACAAAAGCTTATATCGAGTTGGTGGACCTAGCCGGGAGGCAGTTGTCAAAACCACAGGATAAAGTGGTGTGAATAGAACTTGTTGCCAAGAATAACTTTGGTTTGCATGCTCATCGTTAGATCCTTAAAATTGAAGGTTTTGGCCTAATTTTACTACATCGCCTACGTTAAACCCCGATTGATATGGAAATCCAAGTTGAACGTTTCGCCAGGACAAATGATAACATAGTGTAACAAGCCATGATCACGAAAACATAAGTGTCGCCTCAATATTTTAAGTCATGGAAATATTTAGAGGGTCATTAAAATACCCGGAAAATGCTGCGATGTTCTTCATTTTTAATTCGCCGGCATGAGGCCAAGGTCGATGGGATCACGGGTTATTTACACGTTCAAACCGCAGCTCTCCAAGCACATGCGTTTTCGGTGTTTTTTTGACGCCCTGGGTTTCCTGTAAAAAAATTAATTGCCTTTCATCACCGATGTTGAATATACTTTGTCTCTTGAAGGTCTATAAAATTGTCTTCATTGAAATTAAAGAGAGCTATCGCTATTTTCTGTACAAGTCAGTTAGATCTCAAAGCTCCACTCGATGACTGGATTCAGTGCCTTTCCAAAGACATTGATTAATTCTTGCGACATGTAATTTGTCCTCATTCAGTTTTTTGTCGCACGCGAATGAGGATTCCATGTTAGGTCAGGCGGAACCATTAGCATAGGGCTCAAGCTGAGCGATCCACGCAGATACTAGATGCTACAAAAACGCTCGCGCACCATTCACCATCTCAAGCGTTCGCGGCTTTTACTTCAAGTGTCCTCTCTGTGCTTTTTAATTGTTCGATTACATATCACAATGTCACAGTACTGCCATACAGGCCTTTTAAGTGTCGTGTAGCACCATGGCCGCGCGCGTTTACCACGAGGATTACGACAATAATTGTGTTTACCCAGTCCCTCTCTATTTTGGTTTCGAATTTTCCTCTCTTCGGGATCATGCGGCCATCTTTCATTCCATGGCTGGCACATGACGCCTTTCTCAGTGTAGTTAAGCTGTCCTCGGTATTCTCTTCCATCTCCCGATGTACTATTGAAGCACGTTTCTGAGGAACAAAGATGGTGTTATCTTCGTTAGCTTTGTACAACTTCCATAATTATTTTAGATTCAGAGGCGTACAAAAGTGAAGTAAGTTACTGGAATAGAGATAGAGGAGATAGAGCTTAAGCCGAGAATTTTATAGGACAAGAGAGATTTAAAAACAATCCATAGCAATAAAATCAAGATTATTAGATCCTTCTGCACCATGGCATTTAGCGTTTTGCTTTGGAATAGCATACCCCTCCTTACCACGCAAAATTACGTGAAATTTGAATTACTTCCATTGAATGAAAACGTTATTAATTTAATTGTATTTTGCCTCATTCAACTTACTCGATTCCGTCGATGGTAATTTATTGCAATTGTACATGGCATGAACTTGTGCGACATCAATCCACGATAGACTCCTACGTTGTCCGATCTGGGCCCCAATCCTCCTTCCCTTTTTCCGAATTCTAATGGTTGCTTTTCCGTTTTTACTGAAAAACTTTGTTCCATAATGCATGATGGAGAAATAGTCATATTCGTAACCCATAGAATCCATTACCTTCCTTGGCATCTTATCTAGGAAAAAGGAAAGAAGTAATTTTAGGGTTTTTAGTTCACTTCAACTTACTTTGACCGGCAACTTAGGAGTTTATTAAAACATTCAAACTCCCAACTTGCAGCATTTGAATCTACTAGTGTTTTTAAGTCTAATTGTGTGAGAACATCAGTGTTATTGTCGACGTAGAAATGAATTTTGTTTATTTTAAACCCGTCGTTAAAAACACATGGCCAGTGACGCAGTTGTACTCAGATACTTGTGAGAGTTTTCGTATGATCCTTAGACAGGAGAACATCAGCCCTTACTAGCTCGTGCTACCGATTTTTACTTTGGAGTCTGTAGTTCCCTTAACTCAGTGGTAGAGGGGTACTTGATATAATCAGGATTCCATAGAGTTCGATTTTCAAATGCAAAACCAACACGATTAATGGAAGCAAAAGACTACAAATATTGCTCAAGATAACTCTAAATGTTGCTACTAATGGAGCTAATGATAAATATTATATTATTTTGAATGAGATAATTTGGATTTATCAGCTGAGTTGATGATGTAAACTGGTTTCCGTCAAGAGTTCTTAAAGCGTTAGCTCTTCGTCGCAGCAAATGAAAATGAACATCACTTACTAAACTGGTCAAACATGTCTGGCTGAATATTTTCCTTGAATATCCTGATGTAGTGATCACGGTCTTGCCTGCTCTGCTCGTGCCACAAACCTACAGCATGACCAATTTCGTGGATGATGGTTCCCATGAATTCACAACCAGAACCTACTGAAACTTTCTGTTCCCCTCCTGCCCGGCCCACGTACGACCAGCATCTGAAAACAAGTGGTCATGATTAGGAAAAAGGCGAACTCTGAAGCCTATTCTGGTTCTTGAGCATGGATTAGTACCCGGAGCATTTTTTTTCATCCACAGAAATGGGATGCCAATTCTTTGAAACTCATCTTGCAGTATTTCGTAAGGTTTGCTTGACGGCCAAAGTGCATTTTGATCGAGCATCGTAAAACCAACGCCAAAGGCAAAATTTTCACAAAAACAAACCAGAGCAGAGAAAATTATCCTATAGAATCTATGCCGGGAACGTAAAGTAAAAACTAGCAAACTGCTTGCAGTGCGGAAAAAACGCGTTTGAGTATCTCGCGATTGGTTCTTAATTTTGAATTTGTTTGGCTAAGAGAATGGAACCAGTTTGCTAAACCAAATCAATCGGGGATGGCTTTCAAGGCTCAATTGAAAATTGCTCTTTCTGGTGGGTAATCATTCTCCGGTTGAAGGAAGGTGAGAGCTAAGTATCTTGCTAAAGAACGCATCAAAATAATCCTGGCCAGCGATCGAACTAATACCGAAAGACTGTAAAAAGCTCACAAAACATTCACTGGTTGTGAAATTAAATTGGTAAAACCATAGTGAGTGAGTTAAGGTTGTGACTGTTGTCCCACTAATGCTCCACCCGTTTTTTAGATAAGCAGAGGTATTTAAGTGCAAGTTTGCATGGTTCTACGTGCCAACCAACGCTTGAAGAAGATTTATGAAGAAGTGATAAGAAATTGCAACTATATATACCCAATCACGACAACTTAAAGGTTGTCAAACAACCGAGCGAACAAATCACTTACTCCACTAGCATAAAGGGTGTGGTCCTGGTGAAAACTAATTTCAAGATTCGCAGAAAAATGATTGCTTATAATTTCAAACAAAAGATGATGTGAAAAGGCTTGTCAACATCACGTAACCTCACGGAGAATGAATTGCAGTGAATCGCTCATTTAGTCTCAACGATGACAAGTCCTTAAAAATAGCACACGCAAAACTTTAGCATGCTTCTCGAATTCTCCGACCCCATGTCAAGTTCATTATGCTAACGGATCAGATTATTTTCTCATATTATGAAAAGAAACCACCATTTCACTGATATCTGTCTTTCATTTGACGAAGAATTTACTAGGACTAAAGTAAACGTCATGAACATTCATCGAGTGCACGAGGTGAATGCAAAGAACTCATGGATCGACAGCTGTTTGCCAGTAGACACAAACAAGCGGACATTGTTTTGAATTCAAGCGGACCTTTGACATATCGCCAAACAAAGCAAGATTTGGGCGAAAAGATACCAACTGATCTCCCAAAGGGTGCTCTTAAACATACGACCTCTAACACATTTGCACAGCCGGCGTGGACTTAATGTTTTGAAAAAAAAATGTTCGGGAGAAACTCTTATGCACTGAAACCTAAGGACAGATGGCAAAGGAAAGTCATACAGGAACTTATACGTGAACCGTCTGATAAAACTTATTACTCAACTTGTTAATTTTCGCAACAAATTAATTAAATTGTCAAGTTCATCTGTTTGCCTCAGCCGAAATAAGAGAGACTGTCAAGGCTAGGCCAGATAACCTATTGTCGTGGTTTGGATAGTTGCGATGGTTTTTACGCTGCGTTTAATATGCTGTCTTACTTTGTAAAATGCTAGTCGAAAACTTTCATGGATCAGTTTACAAAACCAGCATGCCTAAACAAATTTTTTCGGTTTAGTTTGCTTTGAGTGTCTCGGCATTACCTGCAGAGAAGAGCCACGTTGCTCGGTGACGTATCTGAAAGGCAGGTTGGGACAATAGCGATGTTTTCGCTCTTTGGATGAGAGCCAATGGAGGCGACAATTTAGGGCGGGAATGACAAAAATTTATCCGAATTGCGAAATTCATCTCATTACGATTAAGATAAGGGTGAAGAGTTTGACGAAAGTAATTAGATATGGTTTCGACGAAGTGAAAACAATTGATTTTTCTTTCCAAGCGGTAAAAACAACTGATGAATAATTAAAACAACAAACGATCTTGTCACGAAGAAGATACTTTGCAGCTTTTATAGGCTTTAGAGTTAAAAAACATGACAATTATATTAGCATCTTGTGTTACTCACATATAAGCCAAAAAGAACTCCTTAATTAAAGAGTGGAATAATTTTCGTGATTTCAAGCAGGCAGCAGGCGTTGTTTTTAGCCGAAAGCAGTATGATCAAGCAATCAGTGGTCACTCGCATCGCTGGCGTCTCCACGTGTACATCAGACAATACTTCACCGCAAGTTTGTTCAAGATAGGCGATTGGCTCGTTGGACATCTCAAGGAAGTAGGCCGCAAAGCTGTTTACAAAGTTAAACTGTTACAGCTACTTCCCAATTTTTGCATAATATCAGCAATCCTTAATGTTTCAATGAAAAGAAAAAAAATGAAAGTTTGGTCGATGGAAAAACACGGAAAAGCATACGAGAAGCGGGAACTACGTGTTCAAGACTTGATAACGCTAATGGAGAAAAAGACCTTTTTAGGGAATTGTTTTCATTCCTGGCTTCATTGCAATAAATCATCGTTTTAAAGTCTCATGTCGAAGCTTACGACAAAATCTTGTTTTCAATGCGTCGGTGAACCACTCATCGCGTTCTATAGCAAAGCGGTTGCACGGTCAAAGATGGTAAAAGGATGAAGGAAAATGTTTTCCAAGAGCGACGCGAAGGAAGCTCTTACATTTCTAGGCTGCCTTGATGTCAAAAGGTAATTTTAAGTCCTGATAAAACTTTTCATTATTATTGACATTTGTCAACAATAGAAAAACTGTCAAATGTTTGTTTGTAGTTAATTCCACAACCGGCCAGCAAATCACGGCCGTTCGCCATTCAAGGTTGGTTTTATCGCCTCGGCAATTAATCAAATCATTTCTTTATTTTGCTGTCTCTTCTGATGTTCGGCTATTGTAAGTATCCATTCATGTTTTCTTTTTTCTGTTTGCTTTGAAAGTAAGAAGGAAAACTAAGACAACACTACAATCAATACTCTTCCGGTATGTGCAGCGCACTGCCAGTAACCACGCTCGTTGCTGACCGCACTTGAATGAGTTAATTAACGATATAAATGTCATCGAGTTTCCGGACTCACTCCTTCTCTTAATGTCACCGAAGAAGAGTGTTAATGAGTTAGCAAATTAGAGTACTGAACCGCTTTTTGTGTGGTCCGCTTTTTGATGATTTTGATAGCAGGTACTTAGTGGTCTGAAGATATAAAAAGGTTTACAAAGGTTACAAAGAACCTGTTATGTCTAGAATGGCACAATAATCAGAAAAAAACGCGCTAAAACGTATTCAAAGGAAAAGTCGCCCATAAAATTAGCCTACTTCCTCGCTCTTGCGGCTTTTACAATACCCTCTTTTATGTTGTCACATTTAGTAGGTAGCTGCTTGCGTGTGTTTCCCATTGTGAAAGTATTAAGAGTGACCGGAAAACACGGAATACATGAATATTTCAGTCAAAGTGAGAGGTACTAATAATCCTTACCCTCCTTCATAAACAAAGCGAATATAATCGACATCGCCGTCTCGCTTATGGCGGAAATGCAGGCACGTCCTTCTTCTCCAATGCTTTAGAGCTTTTTTAATTTCCCTCTTGGTTTTCGAGGCTATAAGAAAACAGCAACAAAGAGAAGGCGAAACGCATCATATTGAGTAGTTTTATATCGTAATTAAATTAAAATTGACGGCAATGAGGCCATTGTTGATAGAGAAGAATACAGCATCAATTAAAAGTGGACGTGGCTCCGCCTTCATGCATACACATCACTCTATGAAATTGGAACTGTGTGCTCTTCCACGGCTTCCCACTCATCCTATCGATCCTTTATCGCTTAAAATATTCAATGTCAGCACAAACTTCATTGAAAATTAAGCAGGACAATGACAGGCCATTGTCTAAACTTTAACCATCTCTACTTCGACATCCTAATGACTACATTACGTCGTGTGATTAATTGCTCAAGCTACCTATATCCACTACACATATTTACAGAGAAATGCATTCTGAGTTCTTTTGATGGCAAAAAATTCAATCTGTCGTACGCATTCTCGACGTTCATGTTTTTAAAACATTTTAGGTATGCCGCTTTTGAATTGATGACATGTTTGGAAGCAATGAAAAGCGAGGGTTCTAACTTGCTATGACTTAGCGAAAAAAGCCATAATTTACGAAGAAACATTCCCATAAGTCTTCTGTACATAACTTGTCGCGTGGGTTGAGGTTGCCCAGTAAACTCTTGGAGAATAGTAAAAATACAGTTATAATACTGGATCCCCATTCGCTCTGAGACTTGAAGTTGATTTGCGGGGGGATTAAAATACTTCATTTACACTAAGAATTCTTAATAACATGGCAAAATCGTTCTCCTCCGCTTGAGACACTTGGTTCGGTTTGTTGTTTACTGCAGATCTGGCTGAGTGGAACTTTCCTAGGCTCAAATTTTTGGCTAACGCCAACTTCGAAGTAATGTCAAGGGGAAGAGTGTAAGGAACTAAAACATCGGTTTCAGCTTACCTAAGTTTCTGTCTACAACATAAGGTATCACTCCGTTTGGCCATCGCGATGTCTGTGATTTTTTAACAGCTCGTCTCCTTCGGATATGTCCTCCTTGGATAATAAGGCGCGTTTTCCAGTCTAAAACGATATCTCCCTGGTATAGAGTCCATCCGTCAAAAAAAGCCTTATTACCTGCAAATATTCCAGTTGGTTAGATATTACTTTAGAGGTTAATTAGGGCAGATAGTAAAGAAAAGAGCTCTTAAGTATGGATCCCGCTCTTTTTTCAAAAGCTATCAATTGCTCCAAACGTATTCCGCGGCGTTTGACACGGTCTACGCGCAATTTACTTTTGTGGTTAGCGTTAACGACGACGAGCGGCAAATCAAAGGATTTTCTGCAAGTATGGAGACATAAACACAGCTATTCAAAGAACGGACAGAAGCCGTGCACACCTTTACGGCCAATCACTTCTTGATTTACTTCCCAGGGCTCGAGACCAACCGAGTCATCGGCAAGACTAGAAGTTTTCTTTTTGTTGTCAAGGAGAATAGGAATTGCCGATAAGTAAACGATATGCGCAAACATTAAACCAAGACCAAAACGGTGAACCAACATGGCTCCTGTGCCTTACGGTAGCATATGGTACGCGTTCAAATCAATGAGAAAGGTTTGCGCCGTATTCAAGATTCAGTTTGCGTAGTGGCGTCACGGGCATTCCATTTAAATAGCTTCTATATAGAATCGGATGAGGGGGCGGTGTTACTAGTTAAACAGAAACACCACTGCCCGTCAGTCAAGCTGCGACTGGCTAATTGACAGTCAATTACAATTTACAGTTGGCTACGCTGGTTTTTCCCGACATGGAATTATGCTTCAGTCTTCTCACACGACTAGCAGCCGCTGTCTTTTAGCTTTCCGATGAACACATTGGTAAAACCCTTCAGCAATATAGAATCGAGACCTTGAAGATTGATTGATTTCTGGCATGGGATGGAAGTGATTTAACTGATTTCCTTGGATTAGAGAAGCCGATAAAGTCCTGTGGTGCTAACAGTGGAAACCCATTATCACTGCATAATACCAGCCTCGCGAAGTCCATGTTTTGCCAGCACGGTTTAAACTCCTGTGAGAGCTAAGCGGTTAGGATGTGTTCTTTTTGGTTTTGCTTTCCTCGCCCGCATAAGGTTCTACGATAACCGCAAACGGACGCACGGTAGCGGAGGCACGGAACAACCTGCGCAATATCAAAAGGATTTTATCACCGGTCTCGAGAGCGAGTGGGAATGATTTTATCACAAGTTTAAAAACGGTCACTTTGGATAACATTTACTGTGACCACCAGAGTGTGGCGAGTTAGAGTAGTGCACCAGGGGGACACAATAGTTGTAATTTTAAGATGACCTCCTTGTTTATATACTGCAGTGACAGTTGGACGACTAATAAAACACGCAAACCAATGGGCATTGTCAACAGCAATTACAGTTTATCTACGCTTGTATCGCTGGATGGTACGCACTATTTCACCAGTTTGCGTCACTTTGGTGACTTGAAGTCTCGAGGGAAAAGTACATCAACAATTGTAAAGGAGAAAAAAACATAACGTGAGAGCTCACACGTGGTTTTAATTCCAAATTTTTCATGCTGTTAACTTCAGTACAAGGCCCCCCGCGTTAAACTCTTTATGTCCCCCTCTAACATTTTCAAGTTATTTCAACATGCAGGAATCGGAAATTTTTGCGTCCCCTCACGAAACGGCTAAGAAGGCTTATTCTGACTTAAGATTTTCGCAGCTTGAAGAAGTTGATTTACATTTACGTGCCAGAGGAATGTAACTAGCACTTGTGTTGATTTGCTTTTCTTTACACGGTAAGCTAGTTGTTCGGATGCGATATGAAACGCTCGGTCTCTCACGAAGACATATCCCCGCTATAAATTAACGAAGTTAGACCTAATCAAAGAGAATTGCCCTTGAAGAAAATGACTACTTTAGCAAGAAAGATGATCCGGAATCAGTGACTCGTAGAAGTGCTTTTGTTGTGTGGTCTTTACGTTCTTAGTGATTGACATAAGTATGTGATAAATTGCTGAAGTGTTGAGCTGTTAATGGATATGTAAATCGCCTTTCCAAAACGCGCACTGACTGTTTCTTAAGTTGAACGTTTTACAGTAGTTGTTGCCGGATTACTCTCGTTCAAATTTACATCTGAAACTTTTGCCTGATCAGTTTGCTTGAGAGATAAATCATCCACCCTCTTAGGGAATGAAATGATCGTGCAAATCATTCTACAAATACTTCATGTACATGTATGTCTTATCAGTTCCGCACTTACGAAATCATTTCAGCAGGCAAAATAACTCAGCAGATTACAAGCTTCAGATAGTAAAAGTGAGTCACGGAAATTTGAAATTTCCCAAAGATAAGAAGCTTTCAAATCTCGTTTCCTTTCATGCCGAGAGTAGAATTTTTGAAAGATTCTTTGAAAGTTTTTGCTTCCAATTTTCTCCAAAATGCAACCTTGTGAAGGTTCGAACGTTGCTCGTTTTAATTAATGTGCCATAATTGCTGTTGATTCTCGGTGCTTATTTACTAAAGACAGCAATAAATATTATCGAAATGGTTTAAGTTTTCATGTTAGTAAGGGTGAACAGCAGAAAAGTAATGAGATTTTAAGAGATCCAAAACTTAGCTGGATCAGGCTGCGATTTTTTTCCTGCTTAGCAAGCTTACTGATCCAAAGACGAAGAAACACTTGTGAAAACATATGGCAAGTATGTAATTCTAGAGGCCTTTGTATGTTTTGCTGCCTTGATTTGTAATTGTCATGTCAAAGAAGTATATTTTTGGTGGATTAGCCCTGTAGGCGCTTGGCAAGAGATTTCTTTTGTAAATATCAATTATTGAGCTATAAATGTCATCCAATGAAATGCGGGCTTCTCTTCGTATTATCCAGCTTTGCTGTTTGAGTAGTTTCGGATTCCCTTCTGTTACTAACATGTGCCATTATTATGGGGGGGAATGATTTGCATTCAAGGTGCTTTGGTAAATAGTTGTTTCGGCTAAAACGCTTTCCACGTGACAACAACGTGTTCGCTTATCTTTAAACTCCCTGCTGACTATCGCGTGTTAGTTTACCTCAAATTAATTTATCCGAGACAATTCACAGTTCCCAAGCAGAGGGAAGCTATTATTTTCCATACGGTTTTATCGCGCAGGGTAACAAAAGAGAGATTTTTAAAATCTCGTCGATCGATCCCCCGTTGTTGTGCCTGTAGAAGGTGGGTCACTCTCGAGAGTAGCGCGGCGGAATGCACGACTCGCCATGTTTTGACCACTTTGTCGCCGGCATTATCAGAGTTCGCGAAAACCACAAAGCGAGAAAGTCATATCTATCGGCATTGTAATCCAATTACTCACTAGTTCTCGTCGCATGAAGCGACGAAGACAATTGATAATTGTTTGTCCAACACCTTCATCCAACTTCCTCCTAACTATCTATTTTCTTGGCTTTAGATTTAAATTATTTCGCGGGATCAGTTTGCTAGGACATTATATTCCGCTGTCTTTTTTCATTGGTTGGGACTAAGAAAGATTTCAATGCTGAGACCACGAATTTTCAAGGGCGCCTAGTTTACGTAATCATTGCTTTACTGAGATCAATCTTTTGTTACCTAAATATAACATTTGAACGAGCAATAGCAAAAATTTAGCAAAAGAGTAAAAGGATATTGGTGTTCCGCCCATGGTAACAGTACAAACCCATATTTGAGCATAACCACTTCACAATGGAAGACCAGCAATAAAGTTTGCAATTTGCAACTTAAGATATCTGCTGTTTACATTCGTCGCTTTTCAGTCGCTAGATACACGAAGCAACTCGATTAGGACACTCGATAAATTTCTCTAAGGTTAAAAGGGTAAGAATTGTTTATTGATCACGTAACATCTCGAGAACTATCAGATTATTTCGATAACCTTCTCGTAAATTCCACGGATTTTTAGATGAGAAGATTTACGCTGGTATAATTGGATCATTCTTAGTTATGCAGTTGCCCCTGCATGATGGATCATGAACCAGCCACGCAGGATAGGAAGCTCTTTATACGTGACCATGTCCAAAATCGGGGTTAAGTCAGAAAAATTAGTAACACAGGAAATCCAAAAATACCCATTAAATAATAAATGCGAGTGGCATTTCTCAGTTTTGCCCTCCCAATTGATTTACATAAAAAGCTGAGGTGGATAAAAAAAAGTTGTTAAATGAATTGAATCGATCACAAAACAATTGAACTCGATCCTTCTGGAAAATACGACTCACACCCGACGACTTCCGCTGACATTGACTGGGGGTTTTCTCAAAAATTCGCTGCTCTTCGATTTTCAAGAGAACATCTTTCATGCAGAGAATGATATTTAGAATGTACGAGCAAGACCATCCAAATTGCAGTATTTTGAATAAAAATCCTGAAAAGCAGTTTCTAAAGAAACATTCTTTTGTGTTCAAAATCCACGATAATTTGGTGTAAGTTTCTTTAGAGTATATCACCAGAACAAGTGTCTTCCACATTCTCCTCCTGCACTCTCACCAATGTCCATGAGGTTCAACTATAGTTTACTGAGTTACGTTTTTACAGCGCTGAATTAATACTTGTAGCTACCAAACAAACCACTTTTTTTTTTTTTTTTGCTTAATTTGTCATCTTTTGTTTTATGAAAAGTAAAGGTGCACGTAACGCTTAACAATTCCTGAGGATCTTTCCTTGGCAGAGATGAAAGATACATCAGGTTTTCAGTTCAAATTATGGAATGGATTTGGCTCGAGTATCCAATGTAAAAAAGAGCACCTTTGTAAAATGTTAGGGTTACTGGTATTTCACAGCTTAAAATGCTTATCTAACCGGCAGAAATATATTTTTTCCACTCACGAAAGGCAAATAGAGTTTTGGAACATTTGTACAAACATTTGTCAGGAGACACCAAACTCTCTGAAAAGTTTTTGTGGTGTTTTAACTGCACTGTGTCAGAGAGGAGTCTTGAAATATTTATCGGAACGCTTGCTTCAAAGGACTTGTCGACTTTAGCGTGTACTTTAGTTCTCGAACGTTCATTCATTGCAAAAGAAAATCATATCAGCGGAAGTCGTTTGAAAGTTCATCTAAGAGGAAGCTTTGGCTCCGTCTGCTCTAACTTAAAACTAAAATATGCATGTTTAAACTCTTCCAAAGCTTATCAAGATAGTTTCAATTTCTAGTTTCTAGTCTTATTCTAAGGCGCAAATAGTCCAAACTAGAACAATAGCGCTTATTTTTATAACACGAAACTCATCCTTGAATAAACAGAGCGCTATCCTCGGCATAACCAATTCAAACAAAGGATCAACGGTGATGTTTTAATAAACCACGAGAGAAGACAGCCATGTCAGTATAATCCACGAATGAAGTTCTATTTTGGCAGCCTATTACAACTTCCTAAATTTATTTAGAGCATCCTCGACCACTGTTTTCTTTGGGATTCCGCTTCATTATATAAATGGCGGCTCATCCTTCCATGCTGTGGCGTTTTCTTGGTAATTTTCTAACAACCTTTCACGAAACGTTAATACGTACCGTTTAAATGTCGGAATTAGAAGAAATTTCGGGAATGAGACATTCTTGTAAGTGTTAATCGATAAATATTCGTGCACTAATGATTCATTGTGGTGTGAAACAATTGAAAAATCGTCGGCTATTTTAAAGGAAAGTGCGATATCGCCTTCTTGGCAATTCATGTGGCCGCCATAAACTTTTTCGGAGGAAAAGTTAAAATGGCGATCGGATGGGCAAGCAGAAGTGTTTATCTGAGCACATAAGAAAAAGCAAACTATCAAAGATGATTTTACGACAAGCTAGAGTCAGTGGTATAATTGTAAGGTTCGGTAGTGGACAGTGCATACCCACTCTACACGCCAAATGATTTGAAAAGTGTGATTTTTACGCCGGCTACAGTGGTTATTTTGGCAGGTGAAGGCACCCGAGAACAATTTGTCGACAATTTTAAATCATCATCAAATTTTAACACATAATCGGCTGAGGCCGAACTCGGTTAACACCCACTTTAAGTCGCCACTTTTACCGCGGCACGTGAGGTCAAAAATGATAACACTGTGATAATATTTACCATCCCGCAAGAGTCTACGAAAGACACCGCTGGTTTTCAACACTGCAAATGATTTAATAATCATTTGCGTCAACGGAAACTATAGAGAATCGACCAGAAGGCCGCCATCGTTTATAAAACTGAGAACGTTAATTGTTCTGCCGCCCTTTTGAAAGTGTTTCAGTTGATTGTGCCGATATGAAAATGGTTGAAAATCTTGTTTTTCATTGAAAGATAAATCAAACGCTCTTGGCAGGGAAAAATTACTTTAGACTAATATTATTTGGGGATTAATTCATTTAGTGGGCTTACTTAGGCAGGCGGTGTGTTTTTTTCTTTGTCTGAAGGTCTAAAATGCCGTCTTAATAATTTCGTAATTTTTGCGAGACACACGGTGAAGGAAAGGGCAGTAGTAAATTGTTATCATAGTTGGGATTCTTAAGATTTCTTAAGCTGAAATCAAATGGTTTCTATTTGTTTGAAATACTCGAGAGATTGATTTATCTTGCCGCGCACAGCAAGCGTGCAAACAGCACTAATGTCAAGAAATCACGAAATCTTTCAACTCTGCCTAATAAACCGAAAAATGTCCCTCTAAGAGTTTCTGCATGAAACAACCACTTGCTGGATATTAAGTATATTTTGCCAAGGTCTTATTCAGTGTTTGTGTAAGGAGAGTTAGAGAAAGATTGAAGGATTGTAGCTTTAGCTTCCCACTTTTTCCTTAATATAAAATGGTGAGAAACACTGTTCTTGTTTTCTCGACAAAATATCAAACTTTGCGTGGAATTTTAAGCTGCGTCATACCAATTACGCTGATTAACCCGCTCTTGTTGTTTTACTTCCGGCTCTGGCTAACTATTTTAATGATGGACCAAATGACGCGTCGTGAAGGACCATTGTCATTTGTACTAAAATCTTCTAAACTTAGAGAAATGGCCTGTTTTCTCCCTGGATTATTTTGGAGGTTTGTTCGCTAGTGATTCTTATTTTGATAGTCATTCACTTCTTGCCCCACCCCTCCCATCCCTAATTAACGATGGACGGCAGTACTTTCCGAAATCGCGGCTCCCTTTAATGCGCCTTGTCTTTTCTTTTACTCTTCTAAGTGTGATCGAGAACAATCATTAAGGCGTCCCGTCTGTTCTCTTGCGGAAACGCAGAAATTAATTTGAAATTAATCATTTAGATAATTTGCCTTTCACAAGATCCGTCCCTCTTACCCTCTGATTGATTCCTATCTGAACAGAGGTGAATTTACCAGGCATGCCCAAATTTAATGGTGCATATGAAATTAAACTGTTACAGAATGTAAACGAAAGTATACGCACGGAAACGTACATGCAGAGAGGAAATTCTTGAAGAACAAAGCGTTCTCTACAAGAAACTATACAAAATGAAGATGCAACCAGAAAAACAAGTCTAAAATCGATATTGAGAACTGAGGTCTGGAACTCCAACGTTTCAGAAACCTTTGCGCTAGTAAAAGTTTCGAGTCAATGACGCATAATCGTGAGTTTCATGCGAGTTGGAAAAGGTACATTCTGAAATACCAAGTTTACGAGAACGTCATTGAGGAAAAAAAAAACTGAAGAAACTAGCCGGAAAGAGAGGAGCGCCAATCAACGGTGTTCGCTCTCTAGTGGTTTCTGCCCCGAAATTTTAGTTTTATGATGACTAGATTACCGGGAGCTATCTGTAGTTGTGTGGTAGAGCATCCGAAGTTCTGCCAGGACTCCGTCGAAGCCCCTTTTCTACGAGTATGCTCGTGTAGTTGAACGAAAACTTCTCTTGCTTCTTTCAGTCTCCCTGTGAAATGACTCATAAGCTCGACAGAAAAACTAGAGTATCAGACGCATAGAAGTGGAGTTCTTGCAACTGTGAGCGCGACAAGAAGAAAAATGTTCCATATGATATCGATGAAAATACTCTACCTCGCTGGCTTTTAAATGTGGCCCCACTGATCTACACCGAAAACCACAGTGATAAAAAGACAGCCATCGCCTTCCATCATACGCTTAAGTTTTCCCGTCAAAAGTTGCTAGGGCGCAGCGTGACAAAGTGCACTTAAGTACCTGTTAGTTTTGTTAATTTTACCAAAATTTATTACTTTACGAAAATTATTCTTTTTTTGAAAAAAAAAAATATGATTGCGTGCTACAAAATACTGAAATTTGCTCATACATGTCTCAACATCCAATTAATCACTTATGCGTTGCGAAAATTATTCGGTCTAAGAGAACGCATGTGAATCTCTATTGTTTTGACAGAATAGTGATAAATCGTTTAATTTTGTCAATAGGGTTTTTCAGATCAACGCCAAAAATAACAACATTGTTATAGTTTTTAAGCCTTAAAGGTCAGCACAAAATCAACATCGCGTGGGGCTGCCCTCTTTCTTCTCGGAAGGAAATATATGTACAGTTCCGTTAACAATTAGATCGGTAGGAAACGATCAATCTCTTTCTGAATTGCCTTTGTAATTAGATGGACCTAGCTTACACCAGAAAGAAAGAAACTTTGACCTTACAAAAACGCCTGCAGCGCTAGTAAAATGTTGTTTATTTGGCTGCCAAAAAAACAGTTTGCCGAGTTATTTTTATAACTGATAACTTTAATTTGCATCTGTTAATTTATGTTTTATATGGTGAAGTTTAAAACTGGGCGTTCAGTTTTCTTATAAAACGCTGCGAGTTATCAATGCTGTTTCTCGCACCGTTTCTAGAGTTTTTCAAAACGACATAAACCCGATGTTGGATCACTGATATCAATACTGTGAAATAGAACAAGTTACTTCTCTCTCTTAAGAGAAAACGAAAGGGGAGAGATTAAACAGGAGACCCCAAAGTATCTAATTATTGCTAATTAATAACAGTAGACTAATTAATAACAGTAGAAAACTTTACTGATTCCATCTGCTTGGCTTCTAATATCCCACAGCTTTAAATTTTTACTAAATAGTAAGTCCTGCTCACGTATCCTCGGTACGTAGTTTGAAACTATAAATAGCAGATTAACTTTTACAATAACCCACTTTTCGATTGGTATTTTCACAGTATAAACAGAATTAACTTCCACAAAAACGTCTCTATAGATACCATGAGGATTGCGTCATTTCCCTAACTTGCGTGCAAAAGTGAAAACAGAGCTTTTTTTCCGATGGGAACGAGTTTTCTTTGCGTGGTCGGATTATTTTCAATTCCCTGTTGCGAGAATTACTTTATTGATTCCCTTGATGAATATTCTTCGTGGGAAATTGTACCTTACGACAACCTCCACATCCGTTTCTTAACCAATGGGCATGGTTGCCGGAGATGGGAAGGGCTAAGATTGTAATTTTTGGAGCACATTTTATATCAGAGAGCCACAACGTGACTCAACGAATCCAATAAAAACAAGCTAAGAAACAAATGGTAAAAAGTCAAAGAGAATGCGATGTCGAATTCTGTCTATCAATAATACAACCACAAATGCATAGTGTCTATTTATAGCTCGTCTATGAGCATCAGAGGAATAAGGGTCAAAACAGTTTACCAGCATGGCAAGAAAACGCGATCATTAGTTCCTGATAACAACGTTCTATTCCAGACTGATTTCATGCAATAGTTTAACTGACTGCGTTGATCAGTGTACAGCCAGTATACATCTGATTATAATAAATGAAAAAAAAAATGTTTTAAAAACATTTGTTAAGTCCTTCACAGTTTATGCATTGTCTCCTTCGATTTGTGGACCTGGCAGCACATGGTTCCTTCTACTGACAAAACAAACTTTATTTCTTGCCACAGCTCTTCCTGAATACACAGTCTAACACAAGGAAAACAAAACAGACATTTTTAAGGTTCAGGTCATAGACCCCCGGAATGAAACAGCTGCTGATGTAGTGTGCCACCAAAGTGTCATGTGCTCAAAAAAAAGGCATACGGAATATTTGGAGAGTTTCGAATGAAAAAATATTTTCTTATACCACCATTCGCGTCGTTTTCCCGTGCATTTTAGCCTTGCCTTCCCTGATGCGTTTAAGGTAAAAACCACGTGGTTGCACAAGCCAGTAGTAACGAGACAGGGTGGAAGATGCGTTCAAGCGCGCGGAGCTTCGAATAAGTGTTAGACCTTGTATGTCGCATAGTGATGCCGTTTTAAATAGATCATTGTCTACAGTGATCATGTGGCCGATTATCTTCCAAAGTCCCTATATGTGTGAGGTTTGTTGACAGCAAAACATCGCTCAAAAGACATGCAGCCCTTAATAAGATGCATCTATTGAACTCAAAATTGAACAAATTAGGACGAAATTTTCAGAAAATGTCTATGAATCTTTTAGAAATTAAATCTGAAACAAAAATCACAAAAACGGCGAAAGATTACACCGTACATCGACAATTGGACATGTTGGAAAAAATTGTATTAAACAGCAACTTTAGGGTGTTTTATTGAAAGTAAAAACGAGTAGAAACTCAACCTTTGTTGCCTTTTTGTCTAACCTGTGAAATTTGGAAAATTGGAATTAACTATACTTTATATACCGCATAAGTTACTTATATTCGTATAACAGTTCCCGCAATGAGTTGAGCGTAATATGCAAATGATTTCGCTTTAAGACCCTCTTCCCAGCAGAAGAAACTCCAGAATTTTGAAGAACATTAGAAACTTCTTTACAGAAAGGACGAAGAGCAGGCGAAGAATTCGCCCGCCACTGAGCCTTGAAATGCTTGAAACCGAGAAATATTTGACTTCCTAAACCTTCATGATTTTGTACTTTACTAACTTTTTAAATGGCGACGTGTTTTACGCATGCAAGGATCAAACCAGCGATCAGAACCGGCTCGAGAAGTAATGCACTGGAAGAGGCCGGAAGGAAAGCTGGTGCGACCCAGTGTTAATCGTCCATGTTTACCAGATACCAGTCATTCGCGGTAAGTGGCCGCCATCTTGAAATGGGCTCTAAAACAAAAAATTGTCCTTATTTGTTTGACATGGGGGCCTCAACTTCTTCAGGGAAATTAAGTCGCCCAAACCCCAAAGCTCGATACATATTTTGGGGGTATTTTTTAGAATCAGCGCTAATAAGATGTAGGCTAGAACCCTACTCTCTAACCTTGCGATCTTTTTCCGACTCCCGATCCAGCAAAAGTTGAATTATTAAATGATAAGAGTGGATTTATTTCAAATCCAATTCTTGAAATGAGCGTAATCCAAATAAATTGCTCCTGTCATTGCTAGTGGCCATTTGTTAAAATTATACATTTACACTTTTTAGGATTTAGTTTGATATCGTTTTATCGACATTTTCAATTCATATACTTATCATGGCGTTGCAGTGAGAGTACGTTTATCTCTGGTCGGAGTAAAGATAATAGTGATTTTAGCAAGTAAAAATATGAAATAAAAATCTCAAAACTAAAAAGAAAACAATTATTGACGGAAGTTAAAAAAAAAAAAAAGAAAAGAAAAGAAAAAAATAATTACTCGATGAGTAAAAATTTTCCTTCGAGCCGGATTCGAACCAGCGACCTAAGGATAACAACTATAAACTCTACAGTCCTCCGCTCTACCAACTGAGCTATCGAAGGAACCACATAGAGAAATGTGAAAATTTAGTTATTTAAATAAAAATAAGATCGCTTTCCCAAAGTGCGGGCATAGACAAATTTTCTTAGGTAAAGTCAACAGTTTCGCCGAAATATAACGACTGTAATGTTCAGTATCAATCTTAAATACAAGAGAAACGTTGTGGCGACAACTGTTTATGTTAAGTGATTTTCGTAGTGTCAGGCAATGTGTCGCGAAGAACGTTCGTAGTTTTCGATCTCTTATCGATGTTAAACTGTATTACTCGCGTGGTATATTATAACAGAGCTTTGTGAATTAATGTAACTCGCACTGAAGTAACGCCTCATCATCAGCACTAAGCGCCTTCGAAAGTAAACAATCACTTGAACTTCGTTTGACAATTGAAACCCGGCCGTCTACCGAAACCTGGGCGAAATGTGATTAAAGACCTGATAAATCCACAAACTAAGCTGTTAGAAGCTTTGGGATTCAAACGACTTGATGGCGTTTGCGCGATAACAATTTCAACAATCGCAAAGTTGCAGAACTTTTACGTATTCTCGTGCATTTAATTTGAATAATGCCTACACTGTTTATACTGCATGATTTGTGTCAAATCTTTATGTATTGCGCCCGGGAAAACATTGCAATATTTTAAGTAATGTTAATTCGTAATTAAAATAATAATAAAATCATTTCATTTCATAATTCAATGTTTACTTTTTAAGTAAAACTATTACTCCGGAGGAAAGCCCAGAAACCTTCACCCTTACGTAGCATTGAGAATAAAATTATGGGCTTTTCGAAAAATTACGCTTTTGCAATATATTGCAAATCATGCAATATTGCTAACCTACAAAATTTAGCAGATCTAACAGTTTCATGTTACATTTTACTATTGACGGAAAACTATTAAACTTAACATACTAAGAAGAAATCTAATAATGTCAGAGTGTAGATGGATAATGACTCAAAATAACTAGGGTGAAAAATATTTAGGGTTTTCTCCGCATCGGTGGGCACAAAATTCAGTAGAAAAATTAATTTTCTTATCCAAACGCAATCTTACTCGTCGCTTGAATAGATTCTCGTTGATAACGTAAAAATGTGAACTGTCATACAATCTCTACTGAGCTTTCCCAGCTGACTTTAGTCTCGAAAAACACCGAATGACTGCAAAGAATATTTCATGACTCGTGTGAATGTTTCCAGAATGTTGAACAAAAATAACTTATTTGTGTCAACGTTGGCTCGTCTTGTTAAGCCCGAGGGTAATTTTAGCCTCAAAGCATTTCTTTGTTGTCAAGTCAGTAAATAGATGCCAAAAAAATAACGACAAAAACTGTGGTTCTTTCCTTCAAAATGTCTCAACACACAAACAGAAAGAAAAAATGAGGAACAAGGAGGGAGAGAGGCCTAAATACAAGTCGACATAGGATTTTATAGTCACGTCACAAGTGAGAAAACGGTAATGAGAACGTTGAGGATATTTATCCGAGAGATGTCCTGATCCTTTCACTACCAAAACCAAGACGACAACATTCACCATTGAGGATGAAAAAAAGAAAAGCAAGAAGGACATGAAGCGTTTTTCAATTGATTGAGGAAATGTAACACACTACAAGAGAAAAACAATCCCGACAACAGTGGATACAAATACTAATAAAACGGATGGCCCCACCTATCTATTTGTAAAGCGAATCAATATTTGCCATCATTACATTATTCAGGGTTTCTTGAAAGCACAAAATTCCAAAATTTACAAGAGAGCTTAAAATTTCTAAGTATAACCTCTACTATAACTTAGATGTGGATTCTTCAAACATTTTTCCACAACGGTGTTGAAGTGTAAATCAAACATTGCGTTGAAGTAACTAACTATTTACAAATCATATGATAAAAAATAAAGCTGTTATTTAATAAAATACCTTTTTAAAGGACAGCAAACCCCCAAAAAATAAACTATCATGAAATATAGCTATTGTGGAATATATAATATACTAACAACTTTACACAAGAGTACAAAGAAACTGGAGCTGACTGCTGCAGATTGCACCCATCGCGGGCTCAGTCCGGTCCAAATTCGTTGATCAGGAAGTTGTACATGAAACGCGCTTTCTTCTGCGTCAATTGATTGACAGATCTCCTGCTGAGCCCCGCCTCTTTATTTCTGGGGGCTCTTAGGAACAAGGTACCAAACAAAGTAGCTGTAGTAAGGGAGAAAGTATGTTAGCAAACCCAAGGTAAACAAGAGGGCTAGTGAAAAGGAAAAAGTTCAACATAAATCAATCAATCACCTCAGGAAAGAGAAAAAGCATGTGACAGCGAGAGCTCAAACCGTTGGGCAGCTCTTACGTAACCCTTAACACCCTAAAATCAGTATGCACATTCTCTATACTGTTCTCTATTCATTTCTAGAGGCTCTGAAAAGGAGAATTTGTTTAACAGTCAAGAGTTCTTCGGTTATTGATCATTTCCCTTTACTCTAATGACCTTGATGTCTGATTCAGGGCTGATATTGTGAGGAGAAATTAGATGCCAGTCACCCTTAGAGGTTAAAGGGCTAAGTGACATATACATTACTTAGATTTCCTGAAAAATACATTTTCCAAGGAAAAATTGTGTGTCACTTTTCGTCAAATATAACCTTTTCCTCAGTCCCTGAATTTTTCTTACGCCCTTTTCAACAGAACTTTTTTTCGTTGTAATCAAGTTCTTCCCAATATCTATGCACTCATAGACTGACCCAGAGTTTTGGCGTCCAGTTTATTGTCATTGGAATGTCGTAGCAGCTCTCTCAGGAAGGCACTGATGTATGTGAACACATTCCGATGGCTCTTAGGGATTTGAAGAATTACCTGCAAGTGAAAAGACAACAGTAAGACACTGAGGACTCCATACGTCTTTTGAAAACACACGTACAGGTCTACACAGGCCAAATGCAACCACTGAGGTTGAGGTTCACAGATATAAAGATAAGTTTGGATACTGCTGTACTTTGAAGGCAATCATAGGCAAAGGTAAATGAAACATCGAGCCAATGAAACCATAAGCATTAAGCGCAGGAAGCTTGGGGGGCGATTGACTTAAGTTCTACATGTGATTGGCGGAACGAGCATTCTGGATCAGTCAAATAGCGCAGATAAGGAAACCCGATATAATGTCACATTACTTTCGACACTCAATGGAAAATTCCTCTGCCTCGCGTTAATGCCTATCAAACAAGTTTAACAGCCAAAGAGGTCCTTTCACCAAACTGATCGAATAAAAAATAGCAACATACGTAGCCCCCTCACAAACCCTTAAAAGTTAAATGACAAACCTGTTTACAAAGCATGTAGTTGTTACAACATTCAAGCGCTCTCTGATAAAACGCATACGGAATCACAGGTTCCGGTAGGGCTTCCAAGAAAATAAGTAAAGCTTCTGCTATAGAGTAAACGCTACCAGCTATGAAAACAGTCAAAGAAACACAAAAGGTTTTATGACAGTTTGTAAAACATATATCACGGGCTACATGTTCTCCTTCACGACCGTTCGTTGAACTCGTCACGTCACACGTTCAGGAGAACGAGCGTTATATGACGTTATAAATACAGCAGCGATGGAAACTACAGGTTACACCATAAAGAATGATACAAAGAGGAAAAAACTAAAGTGAACCTGAAGCAATAGGACGACGCATTATAAACAACTCGGTATATTATGCATTCTTCATTGAAATCCTGTGTGATAACTGTTAATAGAATGACAGTCATACAGTCAAGATGTTAAACAGCAAAACCTTTCCTAGTTGTTTCATGCTATCGGAGTAAACTCCACAAATAAATGAAGTACATCAAATTCTGACATGTGGAAGATGTCAAACAGCGAAATGATCACAAGATGAATTGCAATGGAAGGAACTGCAGAAAAAAATTGAAATGAGCCATTAGTCTCCTTTACGCAAAAAAAACCCAGCACAGAGATTGAAGATATTTTGAAATGTTTCACACAATTTCCTTTGAAACAACAAAAGGATACGCAGTTTGCCACCTCGACAACAGTCTAAATGTGTCCTGATCTCTTCCAGATCTTTCTCGAATCCAGACTGCTTCAATAAATTCTCCTGCAGTAAATCAAAAGAAAACAGTTTACAAAGTTGCCTTCAATGTACCTGTGTGTAAAAACCGTGACTTGTCCAACCTTACGCATGCCAAAGTTATACAAGTGATCTGTAAGAAGCCATAGCTCTTTTGGAATGTCTAGCGGCTGGTTATCCGAGAGCGTCGAAGGATTTGATGTATTGATGTGCTCCTGGAAGAAAAGACACCTTAAATTAACATGCTTTTTAACAGAACATTGATTTTGAAATTACTTTAAATATGTTTAATCACAATACTACCCTTAACCCATTTGAGCAACATCACATAATGCCAAACTTACCAAATCTACTAGTGTTGCAACGGGAACTTCCCTGATAGGTCCGTACATGCGCACTAATGCCTCAATAGACGAACCAAACACGCTAGGAAGATAGTTACCACTAACTGACACCTGCATATCGTTAAAGAAAAACGTGTTGTACACATGTTCTTATCTTTCTCACTGATCTTTCTAACCTTTCCCCCCTCTAACGTTTAGAAATCCAGAAAGCCGAGAAATTTTCCTTTTTTTCTTTGCTTCTTTCAAGACTCAATTGAAAATGGTACTATGAGTGATCAGTAAAGATCTATTACTGACTGAAATAAAACGTTAAGAAAATAAAAGATGAAAAGCAAGGATAACAAGAAAATAGGAAAATACGTTACGAGAGAAAATGAACCAAGATGTTGCCCCTCCCTTGAGTTTTAGGAAAAAGTCGTTCACTTCTCTCTATAAACTCTACCAGAAAATGTATGGACATCATCACATCAGTAACGATAACTACGATGACAAGCTTTGACCAGTCTGTCTGAAAGTCGTATACAAAAAAGGATACAAAAAAGTCCTTTCCTCCTTCCAAGTGTAGGACGAGAATATCTTCAAGTTTCTCGTCTCCAGAGTTCATGGCTCCGGCAGATTCTTTATCAACATGAACAGTCAAGCGGACTTGTAACGTGGATCCTGCCATGGTTGGAAACAAACTATTGAATCAGTTTTACATAGGTTAAACTATAAGTAGTCCCTGCTTTTCGGCGAGGCCCGTCCTGCAAGTTAAAAGAGTTAAAAAAAAAAAAAAAAAGGGAAGAAATTGATGTTGGCGCATCGTGCGGAACTTTGGGAGTGAGGCGCATGAAAAGTATGGGTCTCTACTTTTCGTGCGCCTCACTCCCAGAGTTCTGCGCGGCGCGCTAACATCAAATCTTTTTTCCACCGATTTTTTTTTTTTTTACCAGCGCGACTGACTTCATTGAAAAGCAGGGACTGCTCGAAGTCTGGAGATAAGTCGCACTTGTAAATACTTGTGATGTTTCTCAGTCTATGTTCGTATACACCGAGAAAAATATTACTCTCCGATGGACATGACGCAGATTCTTCATAAGAAATTGCACTAATGAATAAAAAAAGTAATACTGCCTGTCTGCCGGAAATCAGCTAAGATACTGTTCCAATGCTGAGGCAAATAATCAATACTGTGTTGCAAAAAGCGTTGAGGAGAGAAATAATGAAAATCAGATGATGATGATGATAATAACAATTGTAATGATCATTATTTCATATAATTATAGATTATTGTAATAAAAATAGGTAACGATAAAGAATGAACTTCTCTAACCTTTAGATATAATTCCCAAAGGAGGCTTGACCGACAACCAAGGTTTACAATACCTAGTCTCATCTAACTTAGCTATGAAAGCAAACTGCGCTGGTACCTGTCGATCAATCAAAAGGTCGTTAACATTACATCGTAAACAGTAAACGCTACCTTAATTAATTCTCGTAACTGAAGGGCATGATTATCAACTTTTTACGATGGCCAATTTACATCATCAACTCTATTAATAAAACCAAAATCATCTCGTTACCGAGCAGCACCACAATTTCTCTGGAAACTTACCCCATCAATAAATTTTTTTTGAGGGTTAGTTCTAAGAATTCCGAGCCAAGTCCTAAATATCCTGTAGTTGATTATTATCCTAGTTCTCATCGCCTGTTTGTCTAGCGGTGTGTTAGAATTGTTGGGATAATTTATCCAATGACCACTCCTGATAATGAAAGGAATGAATTTACATGGGAAAAGGGCCAACAAGGGTTGTAAGCTGTAAGAATAGCATTTTGATAGAGAGACAAGCAAACAGCGCTGTGTGAACTGGTGGACAAAGCTGAAGAAAAATTTGATAGAAACAGCGGACGAAAACACCAACCTGTCCAATATTCTCAACTTCCAAGGTAGCCGTCTGTTTCTCAAGAAACTGGATATCTTTGAAAATAATCTGAAGCACAAACAAACAAAAACGA